AAACAGTCGAAAAACCCATCAAAGTACCATACAAAGTTGAGGTTCCTAAGCCTTATCCAGTGCAAGTGGAGAAAAAGGTAGAAGTTCCAGTAGAGAAGGTAAAAGTGGTAGAGAAACCGGTGCCGTACCCGGTAACCGTAGAGAAAAAGGTGCCTTATCCGATAGGAATAAAAATACCACACCCTGTGCCAGTAAAAGTGGTGGAAAAGGAGTACGTACCGAGACCATATGCCGTAGTTCAACAGGTCCCAGTAGTGAAACACGTGCCAGTGAAAGTGGCAGTGCCAGTCCACGTGGAGAAAAGGGTACCGTATCCAGTAAAAGTCAATGTGCCAGTACCTGTGGATAGGCCCGTCCCTGTACCAGTAAAAGTAGAGAAGCAAGTACCGTACCCGGTACCGGTCAAAGTACTGGTCCCACAACCGTATCCAGTCGAAACGAAAGTGCCTTACCCAGTGGAAGTAAGGGTCAAAGAACCAGTTGAAGTAATAAAACACGTTCCAGTTAAGGTGCCTTATCCTCAGCCGTATCCAGTAAAAGTACCGCAACCGTATCCAGTAACTGTTGAGAAAAAAGTGCCTTATCCAGTCGAAGTGGAGAAAAAAGTTCCAGTCCCAATAGAAGTACGTGTTCCTCATAAAGTAGAAGTGGAGAAACGAGTGCCGGTATATGTGCCAAGACCTTACCCTGTCGAAAAAAAAGTACCCTACCCAGTTAAAGTTCCGTATCCAGTTAGAGTACCAGTCACGGTAAAAGTGCCAGTGAAGGTACCCGTGGAAGTGCCGGTTGTGATCCACAACCCCTACCAATTGTTCGATGGTAATTCGTACAGTTCTCAGTATACAGAGAATTATGTGACTGACAACACACCTGTAATTTCAAGTACACCTCATCACACGGTGACCGTACACGGTAACACGGGTTTCCATGGATTCCAGTCTCGGTCTGACACGGAGGAGACAACGACAACAACGACCCTAAGTAGTTAGTTAACGAACTTTAGTAAGTAGAATATTCCAAGTGTAACGGTATTGTTAGTTGCACGGTTGTTAATATTCCCACTAGAATGTTATGAGCAGGGAACCTTGTTACAATAAATTATTGTGGTACGTGTGTGGAAAACCAAATGTAAGTGGAGTAAATGAATGGTGCTGTGATAAATATATGTGTGTTATTCAAGTCTTCTAAAATATTCACCATATCAGATTTCGCAGCAAACTTTAATCTTAAGTATTAGATACTTTACGGAGCCTTAGAAGGCCTAACGGGTTGCCGAGGCTCCAGCTCGAAGAGCAAGAATAGGAACGAGGTAGCTTTTTGTCAGTAAGAGTCCTACACTTCCTATCGCTAAACCCAAGGTCGGAGAAGTCATTGGATGATTTTCCGCCCTCAAAAAAAGGTATTAGAAACTTTTTTCCTAACTCTATTGGGATCTAAGATCAGTAGGTTTATTGATCTATCTTTTCAATGCAATAGGTGACTAGCACATTAGAATAACGTGACGCAATGTTAATGTTCCGCTGCAACGGTAGCCACAACAGATGACTGGGCTGATTATTATAAAACAGTTGACATGACATGACTTACACATGTTATTATTAATTGGGTATTTTGGGTAATGAGTACGTTATATTGTTATCATTTATGGCAACTGTTTTATAAGTATTATGATTTGTCCTTTACTTTAGGAACTCACCTGCGTAAACATTGTAGAAGGCTAGGTATATTCGTTTCAGTCTTCATCTATTTTTTTCTGCCCTTATCCTAAGTTACCACTGGGTCTGTGCTATATGTATTCTTCTTTCATTTTCTCCTCAGCACATTACTAACTTTTCTTCTTTCTGTCTCTCTTCACATAGACTATTCATGTTCTCTTTGGTTGTCCTCATCGTTTTCACCTATCTGGTGTCACTTTAAGGCTGGAAATTGCGTAACGTGGATGCCCGCGCGACATACAAAAGTACAATGTAGGTATCACTACAAACGGGTTTACAGGCTGTCGTTTTCATTTTGGTAGTCGTCGTTATTTTGCTACGTAATAATATATTATAAGTATTAAGCTTTCCATCGATATGACAACCCAAAGAATGCAAATTGTTAAAGTTGCATTAGCGACACTTAACTAATAATTGCCCCGCGCGTGATCACGCGATAGGTGTCCGTCCCGGACGTCCGCCGCAGTTTCAGCCCTAACAGCCAAGTTTTAGCTCCTATAATATACGACAGCCTGTAAGCAATGACGATCTATTTCGTCATAAGTAAAAAAGTTACAAGTAGGTAAGTATGTAGGTACCTACCTAGGTAGAAAGTGATACATAGGGTTGTGATGTGGAATGGTGGTCGCTTACGACCGCATTGAAGGATACGACACAAGCAAGAAGGATGTAAGTTCTTAGGTAAGTATTTTAGATCCATCAATCATCAACTGTAATGGGAATTCTGTCAGGCGGTGCGGTAAATTATACGCTGTTACAAGTCACTCACCTTTGCAGTGAACGTTAACGTTTATCATTTCATTAATACACGCACGTGATCCTGATTTCACAATACTGTACGAAATACTAAAAGAAATATCGTTGAATCTTTTAGAAAGAATTCAACGAATTTTAAAGAAGGAATTTGTATCAACTGTTCGCGGTAATTATCTATGAAACATAAAACATTATCCAGAAAATGTGTATGGTCAACTAATGATCAATAGGTAGGTACTAAAAATATAGTCAAATAGAAACATGCCTTAGGGGCTTAGAAGAAAAAAATATAATTAGGTACACTCTTGTATACAAATAAAATCTTACGTTATAATTTACTACAGATACAAGGGTAATTAATTAAAATAGTGTTTTGAGTAGGTACTAAGATTAATTACGGAAAAGGAAGTGAAGTGTTAATCGAAAGTGAGTTCACACCGTTCACAGTTGAGTTGGCGCGCGAAAACATAAACGTCACATAATGGGTTCATTCAATAGAACGCAATATGGTCGATGTAAAACAAAGATTACTGTAAAAAATTTACGTCAATCATACTAAAATTATTGTAGCAAGACAGCTTTATTCGTATTTAACTTGCTATTTGAAATCGTAGATAAACATCCATATAAGTGAGTTCTTAGATAATAGATAGATAGATACTTACTAAATAGTTGTCTGTGGGTTGAATACCTTTATCATTATCAATGGTTGAAACGAACGAAAATTTTGAACTTCCTTTTGTCTATAGGTAGGTACCTATTTTAACAGACTTTCGAAAAAGGAAGTTCTTAATTCGGCCGGTGTTCTTTTTTAATTATTGATGTACATAGCTAAGCTAAGCTAAGTAGCTTTTTCATCATCGAATATCTCCTCCCTACCAGAGTAAGGCCAGAGCGAGTTTCTGATTCTTACTGACTAAAAACCACCCTGTTCCTGCTCCTGTTTTGTGCCAGAGCCACGGTAACTTCTTGCGCATTTCTGCAGCTAGCAGTAAATACCGAATATTGCTTCCTGATAAATACTTCTTGTATTTTTAATCTATGCAACAGCATAAATATCGCGTGTAGGCGTTTCGGAAATAGTAAAATGGAACATTAACGTTTTTTGAACAAGTAGGTAACAGCATAAGTAATGTAAATATTTTACAGCGTGTTTTATTTCGTGACATGACAATAATATTTATCACTTGATGGCACGGTCAGCGTTGACTGAAGTAGCTGCTTCTCCATTCGTGCATGGCATCAGTTCATTTCCAGAACGAGAAATTACCTAAGCATGATAATTCCGGTTTGTTTGTTTATTGTAATTTATGTACAAATATGACAACTAGGTACCTAAAGAAAAAACATTCTGTATAGATGTGTGTGATAACAAAATAGATGTAGGTAGGCACGTACCTACTTGGGTAAATACCCAAGTATCTAAGTATATCTATTTTTTATGAGATTTCGCAAAAAAATAAGTCGATCATTTTCATTTATCAGGAGAGATTGGTGACGGCTTTAATTCCCTGGGTGTTTCTTCAAAAAACTTTAACTTTTATTTAACAAATCATTATCTTCCCGCGTTGTTAAGCATCGCAGTAACTTATTAGCATCTGTATTTTATTACATTGGGCGAGACCCAATTTTTTTATTTTAATCAGCAAAATTGTTAACTGTGGCTGAAGGATAATGACGCCGTTAATTTTTTGTTTTTTTTTTTTTCGGAGAATCACCCCCTAGTTGCAGCAGACTTTTGACATTTGATATTTCAACTAAGATAAGAAACAATTTCCTATATTAGAATCGAATATCCAAAAGTTGATGCATTCAATATTGCTCTTGCACATCATATCCTATTTGTAAGACCTGTTTCTATTTCTACTTAATATACTATTTAGTAAAATCAAAATAGGCTATCTCTACTGCTGGGGTCTGCCCATAGAACAGGAGTTGGAACAGGGTCTTTTTAGTTAGTAAGAGTCTGACACTACCTGTGATAATTTTCTATTCACACAAAAAGGCCTATCTCTGTCTTACCACCATTTTTATTAATAAATATCTATTTAGGTACTAGCTTTTACCCGCGGCTTCGCTCGCGTCACAAAAGGATAAAAAGTAGCCTATGTGCCATATACCAATACACATAGCGCCATCTTTTTTTTTTTCTTTTTTTTTTTAAAAACGTTGCCCCACACTACACACCACTCTACACCAATAATTTTGTTTTCCCTCGGAAATATCAATTTTTTCGGGATAAAATGTAGGTACCATATTATATAATCTGGAATTCTAACTTTACGTCTGCAAAATATCAAAGCAATCGGTTTAGTAGTTACGGCGTGAAAGCAGAACAAACAAACAAAGTCACTTTCCGATTTATAATATTAGTAAGGATTTTACTTATTGGTTTACCAACAAGTAAAATCACTAGTAGTTTACACACTAGTTCTGTTTTAGGTAACATACTTTAATGTTACAATCATTTAAAGGTCAACACCACATGCTGAACACAGGTTGAATAAAAAAAAATTAGATACAATAAAAGAGTATTAAAACATTTAATTTCAAAATACAAAAAAGTACTCTACAGTAATATCTCATAATAATTAAATTAGTATTGCAGCTCACTCATATAACTGTTACATTTGTTAAATGCATTTTTAGTTTATGTAAGAGATATACTCGGAGAAACTCGTCGCGCGGTTTTTGTGGTAGACATATCTCGACAGTACATTACTTAGCTATTTATTAAAAAGTTACCACACATTGATGAAATACGAGGAGCGCTTCGCCAACTTGCACAGCATTTTAAAATACATATATCTCTTATAATTTAACATAACAATTAGGTTCTAATTCTTCTTTACTTGACTTTCACAAACTGCCATTCCAGTTCATAAACACCAACTGAAGTTTGGTTTTTCTCATCATAGTCCACCCATTCTTTTTCTGTCAGGTCCACATCTTCAAATGTTTTTCCTAGAATAGAACATGTTATCAACAATAGTAAAATCCTTTTATGTTTATTTTTTTTTTTATTTTAGAATCTTAATAACATTTTCGTTTCTTGGTGGTTGTGAAGTTTTTTATTACATCGAATTACTGCTCCCGCCTGGGTGAGGCGGGAGGAAGTGTCAGACTTTTACTGACTAAAAACTACCCCGTTCCCTCTCATGCACGTCGAGCCGGAGTCCCGGTAACCCGTTAGGTTCTCCGCGACTCCGAATCGGCATCAGCCCTGTTGGGCCCCATCTGTGGTGGTCTGGACGCGACACGCCGTACGCTCGGGTCTGTTTCTGGTCGGACAGGGAGCCACCCATTCTCGCCGTCCGTAGGGCCGCGCTTACGGTGGCCGGAAATCGTCCCGCGATCCCCGACGCCCGGGTGGTTGTAGAGTAAACTGACTATTTGTGGCGTTTTATAAATAATAATTTGAAACCCTTGGTTTTTCAACCTATTTCACATAGGTACAAAATGTGATCGAAAGCAGGAGACAGACACAATTAAAACACCACCATTATTTTAATATTCAATTAATTTTGTATGAAATTATTCCTAATGAAAAGTAACATGGAAGTCTCACCATCATCTTCGGCCACTGCCACCCATCCAGACTTGGGTTGGAAGTCCACTGGCTCTACACCACGGCAGTCAAATATGACTATAGTTTTAAACTTGCCCTCATCTTGGTTTGTGAGCTGACCTGAATAAGAACATGCAAGTAAATTAGTGAGGAAGTATTCTGTCACTTAAAACTTCTAGACATAAGTACATAGTGTGAAATAATATTATAACTAGCTTCTTCCCACGCCGTCCCTTGCATTGCCATGGGATAAAAAGTGGCCTATATGTTATTCCAGACCAGAAGGTATCCTAAGGTCTTTAATATTTCACATTGATCTCTTCAGCCTTTTTGACGTGAAGACGTGACGACATACAAACTTTCGCATTTATAATATCAGTAAGAAGTAGAATGAAAAGACAAATATGTAACAAATAAGGTTATATGTTTAATATTTTTCTAGAACCTACCATTGCTGCCTTCAATAACATCCATGCTATTCTCCCTGGAGCATAGTTTACACTTTATTAATAAATTAGTTTCCGATCTGTTATGCTTCTGCGGTATCTTCTCGGCCTCCGTAAGGTCGTGGAACTTCTCGGTCACTTCCCCGCAACTTCCACACTTCAGTTTTAAGAACCATTGATAGTAAGGATGATTCGTATATAGTTTTTCGATGCATTCTAAGGTCGCTTTGATTTGCAGAGCTATTTTGACCATGTTTTCAATGTATTTTTGTCAGAAAAGAGAACAATAACACAGGAGTCGAATAGAATTTAGTTGAATTTACTTCTAGACGTCAATGTCAAATGTCAACCAACAACATACTACACAGCAAAACAAAACGTTGTGGTAATCTGTCAGTATCCGAACTTAGAATACGAGCCTTTTAGCATTATACGGTCACCATCCACTTTCCAAAAAAACTGTCTTTTATCAAGACTCAAAATTAATAAATACTGAGTAAATATTCGTTTTTGCTTGAGTAAAAACGGATAAATAACGGATTAATCGTATTTATTTATCGAAGAAATATAGCAACTCAAAGCTTCAGTGGTCAGTGGTGGTGGCTTTAAATTATCTGGCATTTTAATCAAACAATTCACGTAGTAACTGCTGCTCGATTCTATGATAACACTATTATGAAGAAACCTGTTGATATCATCATTATTAGGAAGACTAAAATAAAAACTGTTATTGTGTAATGACGATTTATTTTTTACATATGAATAATGAATAAATACGGTAGATATAGATATTCTATGGGCTATGAACTAGCGCAGGAAATTATTAAAGTCCATCATATTTAGATAATACTTATACCGAAATACATACAGTTTTTAACCATCTCAATCATTCAATACAAAACAGTGCACTTTCAAGTACTAATCAGTCCGTCCCATAACATTTTCTATAGCAATAGATTATAAATCTTTTGATCTAAACAATACGTACCAACTCCTAGTATCTTCATCTCTCATAAAGTCTAAAAATATGTGAAAAGAAATAATTTCCAAGCAAATTATTATAAGCTCATATCTAGAAGTATTATAGTTTTATTTCACGTAATTATGTCGAGGATCGTGTTTTTATGAGTACAGGTTTTATATTTTTGCTTCTCAACACTTTTCTTGGGTTACTGGTGACAAACTTTAGCGGAGGCATTATCTTCAACATTTTTTAATTGGCAGTTAAAAACTTATGATAGTTTTCTTTCATAATAATTGCCACTCAATAAAGTTTATAATAGTTAGCTAGGCTAAAGAATTGTTTTTTTTTTCTTGTTTACGATATTTATCCGCGGGACATAGGTACAATCCTGATGTTGTTGCCTTGTGTGTCAGTATGGAGTGTGAGTCCCATCTCCTGCAGAACTTCGTTGTCTACTGGAGCTTGGAGCGTCACCTTTGAAATTACCTCCTGAAAAATTTATAACGAGTTAGAAGATGATGGATACTATTGTTTAGTTATTTTTTTACTTGTGTGGGTGTTATTTACAAATGGGGATCGAACCTGCTACACGTTGTGCGCCGCGCCGCACCGTCAGTATTAATTAGATATTTTTATTAGTAAGAATAATATCAGAAAATAACAAAATATTTTTGAACTTTTACAATCACTAAATTAAAGAAAAAATATACAGAACCTGATTTTCCGGGCAGTTCTCGCACAGGTTGCGAACAGCGAAGATAACCCACTGCATTATTACTGTATCATTTATAAGGAACATTAAAATTTGATTGAACAGATTTAGTACAATATTAATTTTAAAGTTTCAGTCGTTACTTTGGATCTACCCTACAGATTTCATTTTCAGAACATCCTGGTCCAGATCAGTTTAGACGAAGGCCTGGAGAGCCCATTGATATTTTTAGTAACCAAGGGATAAAAATGAGACCTTAAGTGAGTCTCTTTCATAGTAGAAGGAGAGAATGACTGCTAAGACGTTATAAAAGGATACAAGGATTGCGAGCGTCGATGTTACAGCAATCTAGAAGTACTGGTATCACTTCTAGCTCACGGATCTGCAAAGAGAACAATTTTTAACTAAAAGTGAAAGTCAGTCCGATTTCTTAAATAGATTTTCAACATTATTGCAAACGGATAAAGTCGAAAATCTCATGAAAGTGCACTTGCAGTTGACCTGCTGGGTTTAACGACATTTACTCACCAATTTCTTATTTTCCTGATTCTTCCAGCAAAGATTAGCCAGGGTCCGTACTAGAGCTGCCTTGAAACCAAAAGCCACATGACGTTCAACAGTTTCCACACACGTGATTGCTTTCTTCGGAGTAGTCATGTCGATCGCGCCTAACCTGCAATTTTAGACTCTCTTTATAACTAGTTGGTTTTAAACTCGTCTGGATCAAAAAAATATTTATAAGAGAAAACAAAATGCTAAAATGAGACCTAAAAGAAAATAAGCCGCATGCCGTACCTCGTTTTCGCGCTTTCAGGGGAATCAATCTTCACCGATGGCACTTTATTACTGGGAGCATCGTCGGATATCTTCACTTCTTTTACTGGTTCATTCTTCTTTTCCGCATTAGTCGTATCACCGCGAGTTTTCTCAGAAGAAATTCCAAGAATTTTCTGCAGCTGCTCACTAAGATCGAAATCCGTCGACAGATTCTGACTCTTCTTTATTTCTTTCGGAGTGTCCGGTGACTGTTTCTGTGAGTCCGATTCCGGTAAAGTCTCTGCTAACGGCGGGGATATTTCGCTCGGGGACGCTTTCACTTCGCTTTTCAATTCTTCTTTTGAAATGTGAATTTCCGTTGGAGGATCGTTTGGCGAACTGTCTTGAGATTCCGTTCTGCTTGTAGGCTGAAAACTGTCAAATCTAGGGCACTGTAAGGCTGCTGGAATCATTTCTGCTATGGTATTCATACTACCGTTAGGTGACGCTGCGTCTATGATTAAAGGTGGTTCGTTATCGTCCCCTATATCGATTTTATGTTCTAAACTAATTCTTCTTGTAGGCAGAGATATGCGATCATCCCCTTTTGGAACCGAACTACTTCTTTTGTAGGCTACTTTTGAGAGATCTGCATCAATTTTTATATTAGAGTTGGAGTTGCTCCTCCCATTTTTCGTTTCAGGAAATCCGTCTGTGAATTTCAATGATTGGATGTTATCTACGGCGTCAAACTTGTCCATGTACGAAGGGGTCTCGTTACATTCGAAATATTGCTCGCTGCTCTCCGACTCAGTGCATTCCGATGTTGTTTCGTTGCACGATAACATGTTGTCGGCTGAATCGTTTTTAGTTAGGGGATCTGGAAATTTTGGCAACAGATTAAGCAACAATGGAATGTTTATTGCATTATGTATATTCATGACGAGTTTCAAAATAACTGGTTATAGGTTTATTTTCAATGTCTAAATACACAAAATATATATGCCAATTTTACGACCTTTTTGTGGGAGAACTTTACCTAGATACTTTTTAGTAGAGTGCCCTTCACATACCGAAGCGCGAATAATTAATGAGTGGCTCATCTTAAATTTTACAAATACCTAATGACTTAGCATTCCATTATCTCACTACTCCGTGTGCGTAACGCCAACATCGATTAGTTTCAAATAAAATTAATTTATTAAAGGCGGTGTTTGTCGAGCCACGATTTGCAATTTCATGGTAAGTTGGTTGGTTGTATTATCATTAGAACCGTGAAGCAATATAATTTAAATGTTTATTTCACACATTTATCGAATACATAATACGATTAAATCATAGTTGTTAACTTTATTATTATTATTTAGGCAATGCAATTTATAAATAAAAATATGCAACTATGCAATGTTTTTTTTATGACCTGCTTGACTAAACTAAGGAGATCTGTTACAAGTAATTAATCCTGACTATTTTGTATATTTAAGTCATTTTCGAATTACATTCCTGGTATAGACAGCTTTGGTAGCTCAAAGCTTATTATTTCGATTTAAGTCCAGATGAAGAAAATAAATGTTTGATGGTAATGTGGACAGACAGACTGACTGTCAGTCAGTGACAGACAGATGGACAGATGAAATTCGTTTTTAAGTTAAGATATTTCATAGCTACTTACTCTCACAAGGACTGGAGACTTGTGCATTAGTTAAATGTTCGTTTTCGTCATCAATGAACGTCCTGCCTGTAGCTTCATACAACTTATTCAATGATGAAAAGAAATTACTACTCTCTTTACCCAGCTTATGAATTGCTCGAAGTAGAACTGAAAAATAAAGTGAAATTATTACTTGAAGACATGAATTTTATTCTTGTAAATACCAGTATGTTATTAAGTCCCATGTTATAAACATACTTATTACCCATATTAAGTTATTATAGTCTACATAATATCACTGTGAATTTGAAAATTGAAATGATTAAAGTAATAGGACTGAAATAAACTGCCTCATTGGCCGAGTGGTCGCTAGGGCGAATGCCGGGCAAGAGGTGTCGGGTTCGATTCCCGGGTCGGGCAAAGTATTACTGGGTTTTATAAAAAAAATCTCAGTAGTAGCACGGAGTCTGGAAATGTGCCTGGTGTATGGCAATAGGTTCACCCCCTATTACATGTCACTTCTGTGTGCACCTCTGCCTACCCCTTCGGGGATAAAAAGGTGTGATGTTATGGTATGTAAAGAAATAGGAATTGGTCTTTTTTAGAAGATCGGTAGTTGAGTTGGTGACCAAATAATAAATCAACATTAGTATTGAAAGCAGATCATAACAGCATTATTACGTTATGTAAAATCTTTAAGTCTAGAAGACTTGTAAAAGCCAGTGTAACACACACTTTTCACTTTTTACGTTACGAGTCCCATGTAATAGGGGGTGAGCCTATTGCCATATACCAGTCACAATTCCAAACTGTGTGCTACTACTGAGAATTTTTTAAAAACCCAGTAATTTGTCCGACCTCTTCCCAGTAGTCGCACTTGCAACCACTCGGCCAATGAGGCAGTCATAAATAAAAACAAAAATTATTAACGGTTTTTCGGGAGTGTTCCATTTACATCCTGTATGTCTGTAATTTTCTATTGTATGACAGATAACACTTAACTTACATGCACAATTAATAAATAAAGAACTGTCTGACTGTAAACAGTCCATATAAGTGTCCATACTGGATGCAGTGGCTATGATCTCTAACAAAAACACCACTTCCTGAGGCTCTATGGAGTTCACATACTTATCAACCGTCTTCAATATACAATCCGATTTACTTTTGAACTCATGTGCCATGAATTTTACAAAGTTCACAGAGACATTAATGTCTTGAGATTCTGTTGACATTAGTATATTATACGCCAGGTTTAACACCAACATCCGACATTCAGGCTCCAACTTTGAATATAATTTCTCTATATATGTATTCTCAACACCAATCAAATATTCTATAATTAAATGTGGGTACTCAGTGTTGCCATTACTATACATATAAGCTAGTGAATTCAACAACATCACATCATCTGGCAACACATTTGGTTGTCCTAATAATATATTATAAACAATCATGGCAGCTGCTGTAGCAATTTTGTCGTTAGATCCTACTAAACTGTTCGTAATATTGGTATCAAATTTATTCCAAATCATGATTTGGTTGAAAGGATTGTTCACAACTAAGTTTCCTAAAGTTTGCATGAGTACTGTCATGCATGATTCAAACTTCTTTTGCAGTTCTTCATTGACAATATCAACACTTGGATGTTGATATTCTGTGGCTAATATGAGCATAGAGTCTAGTATAGAGAGTTCTTTAGAGATGTAAGTTTGCATTTTAGTTCCTGCTGCAGCACAGGAGCGGACCAAGCGAAGACACTGCTCTGCAACTGCTAAAGTACTTCTATTGTATGAAGCTTGTTCAACATCAAGTCGCATTATGTGAAGAACCTCTGCTATGAGTCGTAATGTATATTCCGATGCCTTTTTCCTGAAATTTAAAATTTATGAAATATTATATATTTTGTTTTACTTGCAAAATATAATATCAATGACAATGTTATTGAGAGATTAAATGCGTATAAAATGAGGATCCTTAGCTGGTCTTAGATTACAGGAACTCGCACATTCCTGTAATGCGGTTATAGTTTTATTGGTATTCAAATAAGATATTTAGAACAGTTCAAAGTATTGAACCTGCCAAATTGATGTACAGAATTACAAACTCAATATATTATTTATGATTGTTTAAATACCAGTTCAATATTTGATTACTTACGGCCGTAATCGTCCAGTCTCGGCATCTCTGGAAAGTTGTGCTTCAGCACGTAACATTTCTTCCACAGCATCCCATTCTCCTGTTTCTAATTGGAAATTAATTAATTTAGCATCCAGCAATATCTCTTCTGCAAACCAAACGCTTTTATCGCGAGACATTTTCAAGAAATTCAATATATTTATACAAATTAGTACGCAAAAAAGTATGACATATTTTGACAGTCTGACCGAATGACATGCTTTCGATTGACAGATTGAACTTTGACATTGATAGCTGCGTTTAGAAATATAAAAATGATTAAAATATAATATAAAAATGATTTTTCACGAAAAAAATCATTGCATCGAAATCTATTAGGTACTATGATAAATAAATGATAAATACTATATAAATGAATATCACAGATTTTAACTACATGCGCTTATTTTATATGTTCCACCCTGCCAGTATAATGTTGAATATTATCACGAATAATCACGATACAGTAATTTGTTAAATTCTGTAGTTGTAGTTAAGTACTCTAATGCCTTACTTTACCCTATATGGCCTACATTACTACAAATCATATAAACTTAGTAATTTCATGATATAACAAAAACAATTTTAAATATAAACGCTATCAGTCTCTAAGAGAGTAGAATTTAGGAGATTTATATGACCACCCTGAGAGGTGATAGTCGCTTGCTCCCGCCCCCGCTTCACCGTCCGGTCGAACGAAGAAACGGCGAGAATGGCATTTGTGCGTGAAATTGTATCAGTTTTTATGTGAACAACTGCATATTTCTCACAGGAGCAGCTTCACCTTCCGACCTTTAGATCCCTGGTGTAATTATTCCTTCGGAGTGTTGTATTATGTGCAGTTTTAGAGAGTTTTGTGTCAAAGAATTTTAGTGGGACTGGTTCGGGGTGGTATCCCGTGGATTTTGTTTCATTGTGCTTAACAATAATGGTCAGACTTCCCGCTAACATCGTTGGAATTTAAAACATTCGGTGAGTCATCAAAATTTTGAGTTCTAACGTAAGATGTAATCAGGTAAAGCTAGTAAAATTACATGTCTGTCTAAAAATACCCAGTAAACTAGCATTGTAGTTAAGTTCTATTCGGTGTCGTATTTGTCAGGCTATTTATAATGAAATATATTTGTTTTCCCGACACTTCCGTGTATTCCATGGAATGCAAAACATAAATTTCGAAATAGTTACTTGTCTATTTTTACTAAAACGCCACTTAGCAACATGCTTTCGTAATGAAATTCGTGACCAAAAGATAGCTAACGTCTTTAGCTTTTTGGAATAAATATATCAAGCATCTAATTTACCACTTATTTGAGCATGTTACATAGGATCTTGTTTTATAGATGCATGTTTATAAAACAATAATTCACTATTTCCTGACACATTATCATTACAAACCAAACAGGCATTTGCAGTAATCAAATGAATGGATTTATGTTTTTATAAACAAAAATATTCAATGTATGGAAGTTTATTCAAAGTTCTTATCAAACTGTTATCATTTTATCTAATACCTTCAAGATATATGTAGGTAGATAGGGGGCGGCACATAATAAATAATTAATGTTTCTACAAAAGATCACAATTATTTATTTGACAAGAGTTCAATAACTGGCAAAAAGTTTTTGATTTTTCTTTTATTTATTTACCAAAAAGTTTTAATAGCAATACAAAAGTTAAATAAACTTGCTTATAGAGTACCTAATCTATAATTTGAGTGAGTAATATATTACTCAGCAGTCAGTAGCTTCTAGAAAATACGTTAATGTTATGTTACATATATGATGTATGATAATAAAAAATATAAACAGCATAATAAGGAGTCACAGACATGGAAAGTACATATATGTATAAATTCAAATTCATTTATTCATTTGCATAATGGTAAATCCATTTAAGTACTTCAAACTAAATTTTATAGAATACTGTAATATTGGACTGCCATTTGATAGGCTTGATTTCATGCAGTTGGCTGTAATACATAATAATTATGTATTTTAACAACAATAGCAGCAAAGTATATACCTACTTAAAAAGTATTTCTGGTAAACAATGAAAGACTTGTTGCATAATTGTAGCAAGATGATCATAATACATGGCAAGTGTCTGAGAATGGGAGATTATGCTGATTTTGGGCGAGAGCCCTCTTCGTCACACATATCCGTAGAGGTGTGTGTAAGGTAGCAACAAAGCAATAAAATCATTGAATTAAAAGGATTGTTTATTCTTCTTGAATTTTCCTCGCTCATGACCACAATTTTAGGAATACATTTTATTGATATTTTGTATAATTATTAATTATACAATGTTCCAATGTTCTTTTATAACTTGATAAAAGCCAGTTCTTGTTGTCCGAAGAGTTAGGTATCACTTCCTATGTAAGCATAACAATGAATGTTTGTTTCCATATTTGAATGGCATATGTACCTATTATTTGCAAGACTTTGAATATTGGTGACATGTACTTTCTTACTTTCTTAATTCATATTGTGGTACAAAGTACCTATAGTATTAATTATCTTCCTTTACACCAAATTATAATAATACCTATGTACTTATATTTTTGTTCTATGGCACACAACTCTCCAATATGGTGTTGTCATATATCATATTATGTTTTTATAATAACTATTGTGAGACATACTAAATTAAGTAATATCGCACTGTGGCAACGTCATGCAGCTCATGAGGAAGAACCCGTCTGTGGTTTGAAGCTAGTAGAGCTTTTCTCAGTATATTCCTGTGACACTGGATTTTAGTTAGTCTATATCATATATGTTTATTTAATTGTCAAGCACCTGTTTTGATAGTGTTTCAAGACCATAGTCTGTAGTCTATTGTGAGAGAAAAGGAAATATGTAGTAGGTATTTGAACTAAAGCTTAATTGAGATATTCTAACTCCATTTTAATTAGGATCTAAACAAATTCATCAATGCGTTGGCATGTGTTGGTTGCATAGAAAATATACCGTGTCTCTAATAATGTGCAAAACAATTTGTAAATGATTAAGTAGAAGAGCTCAATATATTATTATTATAAAATGTAACTTCCACTTATTTATGAATAAAAATGTCATGGAACACACACAAAAAGTGGTATTTTTGAAAAAGGTTTAACTTTGCTAGTTCGGGTAATCGAACCCAACGACCTTGACCCTTATTGTGCAAGCTGTCACACTACATGACCAATTGGGATAGTTTAATACTCATAAGGAACAACTTTGATAATCAGTGAGTCATTAATTGCTAAATTAATGACTAACAAATTATTTATATATTATTTCCTTTTGTGGTAATTATTTATTTGATTCTAAGATTGAAAAACTGATTACGCTTTTAATACATATGCCACATATTAAGTGCTCTATCCCCAAGCGGTCACCATTCTCCACTAACTCCATTATAGACCTTATTTCGGATGTTTAGAGACTACTTTTGTCTGAACAAATTTTGGGTATGATACATTAACATATTAATGCAAAACTTTCTGGTTTTCTCATACCTAGTTAAAAGAAAGGAGTCACCATGCCTTGTTTTCATTAATTTTTTTGCTTACTAACAGAAATTATACTGAACTAGCTACTCCAATGCGGTTTCAACCGCTCTGCTCGGCTCCTATTTATCATAGCGAGATGTTTTATGGCCTATAGTCTTCCTCAATTAATGGAGTATCCAACACAAAAATAATTTTTCAAATTGGACCAGTAGTTTCTTAGATTGGCACGTTCAAACGAATAAACAAACTAATCAGCTTTATATCTATACAGATAAATAACATTGGAGTGTCTGTTTGTAATATTAAAATAACCGCTTTTTACTACAATACACAGTAAAAAGCGATTACTTTGAATTAAATTAAATGAATATACATATGCTACACATACCAAAATGACACAATTTTTGTCTGTCTGTCAAATTGTATTGGCTATTCTTTGGAATGGCTGGACCGATTTTGCAAGACTTTTATTGGCTGGTAGCTGATGTACTATCGAGTAACATATGCTACTTTTATTATAAAAATCTTCAAAACAACAAGGAGGTTCTCGTTTTAACCTGTATGTATGTTTGTGCGCGAATATCTCGCAATTGGCTGTACCGATTTTGATGTGGTTTTCAGAAAAATGTTTGTTACACTTATGAGAAAGTTTTAATATATTAATTAACTGACTTCAAAAAAGAGGGGTTTGAAGTCGATTTTTTAAACGAATTATTATTATTATTTAGAAAGTTATTCAGTACAGTACCCGGTGTTAAATATTGCACACCTTTACAAAGACACAATCGGCCAAATCGCCCCGTAACTATACTTCTCATAATTATGGGACTAAAACTAGTAAAACATTCACCTATTTAATTTCCATTAAAGAAAAATACTTACAAATCATAATAATATCACACAAAAATATTTCTCAAAAGTCAATGTGCAATATTTATTGCCGTGAACTGTAATGTTAGATCTATAGGGTGTTGATAAAATAATAACAGTGTTTCTACTTTGTTTTCAGTGCCCAACCGGCATGGATGAGGGTTTACTCAACGACCTTCTCGAGTGCTCCGTTTGTTTGGAGCGACTCGACACTTCTTCCCGTGTCCTGCCATGCCAGCATACCTTCTGTCTCAAGTGTTTGAAGGTCAGTGCTAAACCTTCATGTATTATATCATTTACGTACGGTGACGAAACCTGAGCTAAACACTAGTCGAACGGGTTACCGGGACTCCGGCTTGACTTGCAGGAGAAGGAACGGGGTGGTTTTTAGTCAGTAAGAGTCTGACACTCCCTCCCGCCTCACCTAGCCGGGAGCAGTCATTCGCTGATTTTCCACCCTTAAAAAAAACCTACATTAGGACTCACTGAACAGATTTCAAACCTTTCTATCCTTAAAGCTCGGTACACTTTTTGACGGACTTCTCAAAAAGGAGGAGCTTCCTAAACAAAGCTATGAAAATTTAAGTAGATCTATCTTGTACCGATAAGTAATATTTTAATAAGGACTTGTGGCTCCGACTTCTTAACTTTCAGTGAGTGTTGTTGGTAGGACTAGGTACTGAGTACAATGAATAATAACATTTTTTTTTTATTTTTAGTTTATGGTTTTTGAAGTCTGTTTTTTTTTACGTATTTTATTGGCAAATACATAATAATATAGTCGTTGCGGTTAGTTTGTTCCAAGATTGCGTCATAAAAACGTATAACGTTTTATAACAAAGTCATATGTTCAGGAGCTCGTCCCGACTTGGGGCAACGTAATATAAACAAGCGTTGCCGGTGTACGTGCATGTAAAGTCTGTTTAAAAATCCGGTGAAGACGAGTTCTCGTGACCTTCACATGGAGATCCGCGAAGCTTATATTATAACCATGCTAAATATACCATCATGAAAATATATTGATACTTGAAAGGAAGACTAGTCAATGAACATACTCTGATATTACGTTACTAGAAATTGAAAACGTCATGAGGTGTGAAATCCTGGTCAAAAGTACTGCTACTGCTGTAATACCCCGAATTATGACAGTCAATTATTTTGAGGCTCATAATTTCTTCGTATATGTAGTCTATGACACTTTAAACTCTTTATACACATAGCATCACGCCTTTTATCCCCGAAGGGGTAGGCAGATGTAGCATTACGGCACTTAATGCCACTGTACAATGTAACAACCACTTTTCACTGTTTATGTTATGAGTCCCATGGAATAGGGGGTGAGTCTGTTGCCATATACCGGGCACAATTCCAGACTCTGTGCTACTAGGTACTGAGATGTTTTTGAAAAAAAAAAACCAGTAATACTTTGACCGACCCGAGACCCTTTGCCCGGCAGTCGCACTTGCAACCACTCGGCCAACGAGGCAGTTTAAACTATCAAACACCAAGCGGTCACCGGTGACCGCAACCTATTGTTCTATAATTGTGTCTATAATGACGGTACTTGACGAGCTATACTTTAAAATACTAGTATAAGTATTATTTTACATGAATAAAGCAAACATATTTTTTTGTTATCCATCAGTTGGCTGTATTACCGTACACCGTACGTATACGTGTTCCCCTGTCCCCTACCCCGCTTCCTGTGGGACCCTGTCACAGTAAATAAGCAGTAGTTAGCTTGCCCTATCTAAACAGCCGGCCGAGTCTTTGACTCATGCTTGAATCATTCATTCCGTATGACGGTCCCGTCTCTATTTAATTGGTTGGTTTATGTCATAATATTTTTGTTGCACATACATTACTGTGCAATTCAAACAGCGAGAACTAACTTGTTTCTGGTTCATGTATCTTTTCTGTTGTCTTATAAAAAAAGAGAGTAAATATCATTTCATTTGTCGTATTTCTTCGTCGTTTAAAGTTATACCCATTTATTTACATTGTTGTAACATTAAGATCTTTGTTTAAAAACATGCATAGGCCGAGTGATGAGTGTTTCGTCTTCATATTTGTTTACGTCAATGGTCTATGCACAAACGATTGTATTAGACGTTAACATAATATTATAACATTGTCAAACTTACATTTAAGAACATAATAAATGTTTTATAGTATTGTATCCTCGACTATTCACGTAATGCTAGCTACCGGCAGCAGATAGTCAGTTAGTTATTACTATAACCCCCCACTCTGTCTGTTAATCTGAGATTAGTGTTTGTAAACATAACCACGTTGAAGTCATATTCAACACAGATAATAATTATTATGAGACAGTTCCAACTTGTTAATAAAAAGTTTCCAAACAATAGACTAGAGTCAACTATTATATTTTTACTTTTATTTATGTTATAGTGCATTCATACTGGCTATAGTGCAACAGTAACTTATGTCACACGGTTTTGTTATGTAATCATTAGGATGTATAATGTATATGTATGTACGTTTATAACAAGACTGGCTGTCTAGAAAGTGGTTACCAGTTTTCGGCTTCGCACACGCAGCATTCCAATTATAAATCAATTCGTGTTTTCGGCCATAATTATTTCATTGGACTGATATTCCCGCGCTTTGATATTTCGTTTTTTTTAAAGGAGTCTTATCGAGAAAAGGATTAAATAAGTATTTTTTATAATTTTTATCGATATTGTGTTTGTATAAAAATACACTCTGAGGTCATGTTGGTTGGTTTTGCTATAAATAGTTTGCTAGCTATTTGCAATGCGAAATATCTTGAACCCTTATCACCCTCCGGGCTAAAAGTGCATGCTTGCATTCAAACGTTTACCACAGACAGCTAAGGACGGGTTCGACTCATGACCTTTCGATAGCCATTCTCCAGCCAACGCCTTAGTTAGTAATGGCAAAATTGTTATACTATAATATTGAATGGGAAGCTTTTGAAGGCTTTTCAAATGTTCGGAAGGAGTTCTCCATCGCTATCGAAACGTCTAAAAAATATCACGTTATGTAATTTGGAATTGCCATAGTCCATAGTCGTTAATGCAAGAAGAAGTTATACTTCTAAAAGTTCCAACCAAGTTCCTATAATATAGCACCTAGTATTATGACGCCATTGACACGACATTAGTAAATCTAGTCACTGTAACCAGTCGTTCATAAAACGTTAAAGTCCCGTTATTACGTGGAAGCCTCATCAATTTTAATAATATTAGTCACAGAATTCATGGAAAATGTTCAAAGAGCTAATAATTTGATCAAAAAGCATCCAGCAACAGACGAGACTTATTATAGGAGTTTGTATGTCAAGATTAAATAAGACGACCCGCCGCAATTGAGTATGGCGCCTGGAAATGGGTATTATATTGTTCTATGTATTTTGTCTTATTGGTTGGATTTTATAATTCGCTTAAAATCGTCCAACTTTGCACTTCCATTATGGCAATGGGTCATTGAGTGATGTTGCATTGTCGTTGGCTTTCACAAGCATGAAAACGTCCATATTTATTCATTTCCTGGACATGTCTAATGTCTCCCTGTACATAATGAACATACATTTTATAATGAACTGCAGATATTAAAGTTATTGTATCAATAATGCCTGACACGTTGGCCGAGTGGTCGCAAGTGCGACTGCCAGGTAAGGGGTCTCTGGTTCGATTTCCGGGTCGGGCAAAGTATTACTGGGTTTTTAAAAAAATCTCAGTAGTAGCACGGAGTCTGGAATTGTGCCCGGTATATGGCAATAGGCTTACCCCCTATTACATGGGACTCATAATATAAATAGTAAAAAGTGGGTGTTACTTCTGTGAGCACCTCTGCCTACCCCTTCCAGGATAAAAGGTGTGATTTTATGTTTTTATATATCAATAATGTGCTGCGTGAAATCACAATTAGGGAAGATTGATAAAGTCAATAAATTCTCGTGATAGATCTAATCTTAGCAATCATCTGCAACTAAGACGATTAGTAGACTTAATGCTGTTTGAATTTGATGAATGACCATTGATGTGGGTGATTATCTATGTCAATGTGTCTACTTAGATTAGTAGTCCAAAAACATTTTAATCGATTTGCACTGTTGTCCGAACCTGCTTTATAATAATCATTCATGAATTTTTCCCCGGTGAGCTGTAGACTTGATAAGGTACCCATTGCCGATTTTAGAAATAGTATCAAGGCAGTTTATTGCCTAATATTAAAGCGATGTTGCATTTGTTGAGCTTGCCAAACCAAGCTATGGGCAGCGTCCCAATGCATTTGTGTCTACTAAGGTCAAAATATTAGATGAAGTAAAATATCTTTTAACACCTGTGTAGTGAATTAAAATATTACTTAATATATCTATGTATTATTTGATTATTTCCTATAGAAATACCTTAACTCGTCGAGTACCGGTTTTGCAGACAATTATAGAACAATAGGTTGCGGTCACCGGTGACCGCTTGGTGTTTGACAGTTTAAAATCCGCATTGCTGCATTATCTAGTCATTACTCAAAACGATTCTTATTCTGCACTTCTATTCAAATAGAGGCCCTAGTACGTAAATTAAAATCGTACTAAGGCCTCGGTTTCTACACTTCGTAGCAATAAAATGTCGTTGTATTGGAGATACAACTCGTAGAAATCGCTGTTTGAAAACCTATTTACAGAAATCCTCTGCATATTTAACAGTCGAGACTTGGTCGCTTTTATTTTATACTATCGTTTATCGTTCTTTGCGTGTATACGGACAACTTTCTCTACTTGATTCTGTAATCTCGCAACTTATGATGTCATTACTCGGTAGTGATAAACGTTAAATCATATAATATTGAATGTTATCATTTTGTCCCATTTTTTCAAACGTCCTCCACTTGTCTGTGTGTTTTGTATCCGGTGTCACTGTGTAAATGTCTGCTCCATTCGTTTTTATGTTATGTTTCGTATCTTTCTGCAAATCCTCGATTATTTACGTAGCTATGTATGTATATCTATAACTATTGTTTCATTGATTCAGTTGAACGTTCATCAGTTCTTGTAATGTAGAAAATAGTTATTAGAAGGATCATCCTCCTTTTCACTGACAAAATTAGATGTAGGGCACTCGCTTGCAAATATAAAAATGCGTTAAAATTGCACTCATCCAATCTAACAAACCTTACCCTGTTATGCTAGTGACCTCGATACATCAATACATTTAAGTTGTATTGAAGTCCTATCACGGCTATCAGTAACAAAGTTGATTAGTCACACAAAACAGAGTA